CCTGAGCTACCCCGGGCACACTACGAGGAGGAGCCGCCGGAGCCCGTTCACGCCCGCCACTGGGAGAATCCCTGGGAACCCCCATCCCACCAACCCGGAGGGCGAGACTGCACCCGAACCCCTCCGCCCCTGTTGTTACCCAGAGGAGCCGCCCGAGGACTGTTGGCCTGACTTCCCGGCAGAGCTACCGGACCTGCCACCGAGCCCTGGCCGAGAGGAGCCCATGCAGATGGACTGGCCCGAGCCCGGCGCGACGAACGAGGTAGGCTCTGAGGGGGATCACGGAAGTGGCCTGGGGGTAGCCGACCCCGGTCCGGCTGCAACGGAGTGTGAGCCAATGTCAGTGTGTTGCGGTCTGGATACCCCACTGACCAGCAGCGGCAGCAACCGCTGCTAGGGCCCCGGGCTGGAACGCAGTGGAGTGGGTGGGCCTGCGTTCCCCCCTGCCACCCTCCGCTCACGGGTGGCAGGCTTCCCCCTCAGCCAACGTTCGGCTACAGCAGCCTAGGCATATCCTGTGCTTCTGAACTATTTGCTCGCAGCCCCTGCAAACAAGGGCCTGAGCTAAATTGTGTTTGCCCCGCCCTGATCCAGGGCCTGGGCTCTGAACTGTTTGACCGCTCAGCCCCTGCAAACAAGGGCCTGAGCTTTACTGTGTTTGCTCCGCCCCTGCAGTCAAGGGCCTGAGCTTTAACTGTGGTTGCTCCGGCCCTGCACCAAAGAGCCAGAGTTTCGGGACTAACTGACTGCTTGTTCCCACAGTAGTGAGTCGGTGTGGCTCCCCTCCTGCCCCTATTACACACCCACAGACCAGTTCCTCAGATACAGCAACCCAAACAGCTGGTCAAATAGCCATTCTGCGGCAGGGGGAAGGTGTGAAGACGACATTTACATTCCATCACAGGGACCACTTGAGGCTACTATCTACAACAGACAGCCTGTCACCATGACTCAGCTGAGAACTTCAGTTGTTTCTAGTACAAAGGACTGAATTATAAAGAGGTGAGGAAAATGCTTGAGCCTCTATCTCTCTCCCTCTGCTCATGACAACTCCTAAAGAACTGAACTTGGGCGGCAGGGGCAGGTTAGGGGGAGTCTTGGCTGAAAGGAAAGCCAGCCTGTCTCAGCATAGGTAAGAGAAGCATTTGCTTTGAATCCATTTTTGATTGTTAAGTTAGACGTTAGTTTGTGTTTTATCTTGCGTTTCTTTTGTAAACAATTCTGACTTTTATGCCTCATTACCTGTGGTCACTTAAAAATCTTTTTTCCCCCAGTAGTTAATTTTGTTTCATTGTTTTATTAAACAATGTTTGGATTAAAGTGTGTTGGAAACTCCATTTGGGATAATGGTGCATGTCATTTTCCACTAATGAAATGACAGACTTCCTATAAGCTTGTGTTGTTCAGTAGTGTGCTGGACAGTGCAAGATGCACATTTCTGGGGGAAGTCTGGGACCAGAGAATTTTCTGGGGTTCTCCTGTGGGGTACTGTAATTTGGAAGTCGCTGACTAGCAGCACTCAATACTGTGTTGCTGGGAGCAAGTTACATGCTGGAGACTGTGTGTTAACTGCCCAGGAGTGGCTATTCTCACAGTAAAGCAGTGGAAAAGGCACCCCAGCTTGGGGAACTGAGGGGACACAGCTGTTCAACAGTCCAGATTGTACTGTGGTTAATGTCACAGACACTCCATTTCAAAGAGGCTCCTAAAACACAGAGAAAGTAAATCCATGTCCCAGAAATCGAAGACTCCAGACCGAGGGCAAGTCTCCCTGGCACTGCTTCTTCTTGACAGAGGTCCAGAGACTAAGAGAGAGTCCTGGGGAAGCTGAGAACAGTAAGCATGGGCTGGTGGGGTTCAGTGGAGAAAGGGAACAGGAAGGGCAGGGATATTACTGAATGCAGGATCTCAGCAGTACTAGATGTTAGGATAACACATATTGCAGCCCATTGGAAAACATAATCCCAACTATACATATACATACATACATACATACACACACACACACACACACACACACACACACACACACATATATAGTTTATGGGGTCTAAATTAGCAGTTTCCACTCAAGAGAGGGATCTTGGAGTCATTGTGCATGTTTCTCAGGAAACATCCACAGAGGCAGTGAAAAAGCAAACAGAATGCTGGAAATCATTAAAAAAGGGATAGATAAGACAGAAAATACAGTAACTCCTCACTTAACATTGTAGTTATGTTCCTGAAAAAATGCGCATTTAAGCAAAATGATGTTAAGTGAATCCAATTTCCCCATAAGAATTAATGTAAATGAGGGGGTTAGGTTCCAGGGAAATTTTTTTTCACCAGACAAAAGACTATATCTACACACACACACAGAGTATGTTTTAAACAAATAATTTAATTCTGGTACACAGCAATGATGATTGTGAAGCTTGGTTGAGGTGGTGAAGTCAGAGAGTGGGATGTTTCCCAGGGAATGCCTTACTGCTAAATGATGAACTAGCAATTGGCTGAGCCCTCAAGGGTTAACTTGTTGTTAACGTAGCCTCACACTCTACAAGGCAGCAGGAATGGAGAAGGGGAGACTGCATGGCAGACAGAGACACACACTGTGTGTATGAGAGAGAGATGTGCATTTCCCCTTTAAGTATGCTGACCCCACTCTTAAGTACACTGCCTTGTTAATTAGATAGGCAAGCTGAGACTGCAGCTGCTGCCAGGAAACTCCCTCTATCCTGAGCCTTGTCATGTGTCCCCCCTGCTTTATGGAAGATGGGGTAAGTGGGGTGCAGGAGCAGGGGGGAGGGGGACACTGACAGCCCCCTTCTTCCCCCTCTCACCCCACACAGCAAGCAGAACTCTCAAGGAGCAGCTCCAAGGCAGAGGGCAGGAGCAGGACATGGCAGTAGGGGGAGGGACAGCTGAACTGCCAGTAACTGGTAGCCTGCTGGGCAGCTGATGCCCAGGCAATTTAGGGGAACATAGAGCTGATAGGGGGGCTTCCGGTCCACCCTGGTTCCAAGCCCCCACCAGCTAGCTGCAATGGGCTGCTCTTCCTGCAAGCAGTGAACAAAGCAGGCGGTTGCCAAATGACATTACAAGGGAGCATTGCGCAACTTTAAACGAGCATGTTCCCTAATTGAACAGCAGAAGAACAACGTTAACCGGGATGATTTTAAGTGAGGAGTTACTGTGTTATATTGCCTCTATATAAATCCATGGTTCGCCCACATCTTGAATACTGCGTGCAGATGTGGTTGCCCCATCTCAAAAAACATATATTGGAAAAGGTTTAGAAAAAGGCAGGGGGGGGGGACAACTAGGGGTATGAAACAGCTTCTGTGTGAGGAGAGATTAAAAAGACCGGGACTTCTCAGCTTGGAAAAGAGACTAAGAAGGGGGGATATGAGAGAGGTCTATAAAATCATGACTGGTGTGGAGAAAGTAAATAAGGAAGTGTTATTTACTCCTTCTCATAACACAAGGACTAGGAATCACCCAATGAAATGAATAGGCAGCAGGTTTAAAACAAACAAAAGGAAGAATTTCTTCAAACAATGCACAGTCAACCTGTGGAACTCTTTGCCAAAGGATGTTGTGAAGGCCAAGACTATAACAGGGTTCAAAAAAGAACGTGATAAATTCATGGAGGATAGGTACATTAAAGGCTATTAGCCAGAATGGGCAGGGATGGTGTCCCTAAAAACTCTGTTTGCCATAAGCTGGGAATGGGCGACAGGAGATGAATCACTTGATGATTACCTGTTCTGTTCATACCCTATGGGACACCTGGTATTGGTCACTATTGGAAGACAAGATACTGGGCTAGATGGACTTTTGATCTGACCCAGTATGGCCGTTCTTATGTACTAGGGAATGTAGTGAGTCCAGCGTAATGGAAGGGAGTAGGAAAATACCTGGGTGTGGAGAACACTGGGAAATTAGAAGCTGTAATTCAGGAGCAACAGAGTCTAATTAGTCTGGAAACTCAGAATGTAAAAAGAAGAATCAGGGTCATGTGACTTTGGCAATGAGGGACTCAAAAATCCAAAGAGCGTGCAGGGACGCGAAACTGGGGCTATTACACATGGTGATGGAGGAGCAAGACTCTCCATGTCTCAAGAAGTTTCACAACCAACCTAGGCCATTTTCACATGCTGGGGTGCAATCCAGAATAGTGAGGATTTGTGACATCTGTAATCCTGGGTGAGATTCAATGTTCTGCTGCTGGAGCTCCCTTTTCTGGATACTCCCAGCCAGCATTCAAGGGTGCACTGAGTATCTGTGTGATAAGTAACCCTGGACCAGCAGTTCTGACTCCAGCAGCCTGTTTTTTATACCCCAAGGACATTCTGGTCTGGGTGGAGAAGGCTCAGGTTTGAAGAGAAGGTCAGGGGTAGGAAGCTTCTGTTCGTTATGCTGGACCTAACCTCCAGCTTTACTTGAACAAACCAGAGATATTTGACACACTGAGATACTGCTCCTGCTCTCTGTTCCCAAAGCGTTCTGCAGCAGGGGAGGGTCTCTGGTAGCGTGTGTGTTACTGGCATATTGGGGTGATGCTGAAACAGGACAGAGTAGAGGTGGCATTGTGGGCTGGTGTGAACCTTATTTCTTCATTTCCCCTTCCAAGAACCGAGGGGACAGTAACCCTTACCCAGCGAGGTCACATACTCATAGTTCTCCTGCATGATGTCTCTGTAGAGAGTTCTCTGAGTGGGGTCCAGCAGAGCCCCCTCTTCCCTGGTGAAATATACAGCCACCTCCTCGCAGGTCACCAGCCCCTGAAAGAGCAAGAGCCCAACACTCAGTACCTGCTGCCCCACTCACAGCCCCAGTATTTGTGGGGGAGAGGAGCCGATCAAATGGAAGCTCAGGGTGAAGGGACAAAGAGAGAGCCCCTTGTCTCTCCCAGCAGATCCATCACACACCTACTAGCCACAGACTGATGCAAGAGATGGGACCTCTAGCAGGGTCCAGGGAGAGCTCCCTGGTAGGAAGCCCCAACACCCTCCTCATTGTGAGGAGCTGGATATGAAGGGAGGAGAATCTTCCCTAAACTTGACTGGTGGGTGCCCCCTTCCTATCTCACAGCAGCCACTGGTTAGTTAGGTCAGCCTCAAGGACTAGGAGTCTGGTCAGTTTTCCTAGCTCCACGTAGGTGGGTTATTTTCTGTTCAACAAATTAGAGCATTTCCACCTCCGAACCTCATGGGTCTATTCCCAGAATCTAGGCCACTTAATAAACAACTCCCAGCAGGTTTGCCACACCCTGTCCTCCTCCCTTTCTCCACCCTGTGCATGTCCTGCCCCACTGAAACCTCCAAACCAGACTGTGCAAACTTTCCCATCTCCCGTATATTTGCTGTCCCCCTCTCTCCTGCAGGAACCCACCAGCAACCCCCCCGATGATCCCTACATAAACTGGCTCCTCTGCAGCCATTTCTCTCCCCTGTCCCATAGGAGGCTGCGATGAATTGGAGCGAAACACGGACGTCATTCCTTGGACTGTATGGATTAGAAGGGCAGTTCTGGAGGATTCAGAACAGGCTTTAGTTAATTTCACAGCACGATTCCCCCAGGCTCTTTCCCTGCAGACAGACACCCTACATTCTGCCATGCTGAGAAAATGCTCAATCTCTTTATTACTGTGTAGACCTGTCCCCTCCTGCCAGGCTAAGCCCACAGACATATTTTTAACCTCCCTTCTCTCTCCCCACATCCCATAACAAAGTCTCTGAACACAATGCTAGAACAAAGGAGTCACTTTCGATGATTCCCTCTGACACTGACCCCGTGGCAGCCACACCCCAGCAGGAGAGACAAGAGAGCTGATCATTTGAGGGGAAAAGTGTAGGGTTACCATATTTAACAAAAAAAAAGAGGACCCTCCACAGGCCCTGGCCCCGCCCATTTCCCACCCCCAACCCCGCCCCTTCCTCCCTCCCACTCCCAGCCACGTGAAAAGGGCTGCCCGAGCGCTACCGGCTTCGCTACCGGCTTCACGGTTTGCCGGGCAGCCCCC